CTCTTGCCATGCCCAAATGATTCATCATTAATAGCTTTAGACATTCTCTTTAAGCGTATGGTTACTTCTACTGGAAAGCATATTTTGAAACCTGCTAAATTCTATCCTCTTAAACTGTGAAAAGGAAAAAAGAATAAATAACAACGCAATACAATTAATCCAGTCATTTAGCAGTTTGCACATCAGGGAAAGGAGCACTCACGGAGAACCTCACCTTCCCACAAGGTCCTGCTGCTCCATTCAATCCAGTATTCACACCTGCAAGGTTACCAAAGCTGGCTGCCACTTCTTCTTCACATTCATTCTCCTCTGCTTCCAACAGCTGACATCCCACTCTGCAACAGTTAGAAGGGGAACAGGGAAGAAGAACTGAAAAGAAAATGAACTACAATGCAGATACGGAAAGCACTTGCCATTAGAAATACATCACCATTTGATGTTTTCCTTAAATATATCATAAGCCTTGCAGGGCACCCGAGAGAACCAAGCATGCTAAGCAGAGAAATGACTAGGCTTCAAAAAGCAGCATACAAAAAATGCAGTCACCGCCCCAGTAGCATGACCAACATGTGTCAGTCTGTGCCACAGGTCAACATGAGGAACCTGAAGTTTCACTGCCCATGTATAATCAGCTCTGCCTGGTGTTGGGGCTCAAGTTCTAGGTTAAGAATATTCAACTAGGAAGCCACTGCCTCTGTTGACACTTTCAGGACCAATTGACAGCTTCAGTAAACTGGAATGGGTTTTTGGAAACCCTTGGTTCCTTGGGGATTGAGTTGCTTTAAACCACTAAAAAAAAAATTATTTTATATATATATATATAAATCTTACACTTTTTTTTGAAAAAAATGTCTAAGTGTATATATGAATCTTATCTCATTTATAAATCTTCTAAAATATCTTATTTTCTATATACCGAAAACTATATATATAAATGATAAGTCATATATACACACACACATGCACATACACAAATTCTCAGCTGTATGTAAACCATTAAACCTTCCTTGGCATTCATATGTTAACTTCTTGTGTAGTTAAAGTAATTTTGGGGGTAATTATATCAACTCAAAGATTTTTTTATTTTATTTTTAAAGAGAGGTCCCTGTAGCAACACAGAATTACAACAGATAGCATAAGAACAGCCGTACACTGAATACCCTAATGTTGCCCTGCTTAGCACACAGGACACATAAAAGGCACAGTACCTTATGGAGAAAACCTTTTTCTTAGAGCACAGCAGGAGCGAATGCAAGACTAAGTCACTTACAATAAGCCCTATAAAGCTGTACGCTTTGGCAATCCCATCCCATCTTTCAACATACACAGAACCGTGAACAATTCCTCTGTCCCTACGCAGCACGAGTATCTGAATAGAAACAGCCTGAAGTAAAAACATCTGTGGACACTCTGCTGCCTTCAAAACACTTCAGCTCTTACTCCCCCAACCTGCTTTAAAATACTGGTGAGGGTCAGTCAGCCATGCCAGCGGTGCTCCTGCCACATTTGCACATGGAGCTGGAGCAGGTAGCAAAGCAGAGAGAAAGACATGGCAGCTCTCAGGAGCTGGAGGTTGCGGGGGCTGTTCATGACCATGTGCCACCCTAGAGGTCAAGGGAGCTGCCTGCCACACACTGGGGGGAGTCATACGGACCAAGGAGAAATCACTGCATCAGGTACCATTGCAATTCAGGATTACCTTGGGCATCTACAATGCAGGCAATCAGAGGACAGGCTCTCTTAGGTTGCCAAGCCATCTATACAGTTAAGTCTTCAGCCACAAAAAAAAAATGCTAAGATTTAGTGTTCATTAAAAAAAACAAACAAACAAACAAAAAAAAAAACCAAAAACATTTCCTTCAACTGCACTTCTGAAGCATTCCTTCAGTATTTTCTGACTTGCTTTTGGAAAATTCAGTTCCAGTATCTGCATTCCTTTTTCCTTCTCTGCATTCTAGGTGACAATGTGACAAGCCTCCATGTTTGTACAATTAATATGGCTCTTTATCAAGAAAACTCTTTACAGAGACTCTGCAAATAACGCTAAACATCCCAGTCTGTCTCCAAGTTCCTGGCACATGGCTACAAATCAGTTTCTACTCAGCCCTTGCCTATGGTTTGGGGTTTTTTTGTTTGGTTGGTTGGGGTTTTTTAAGAAACATATATACACATTTACAGAAGTAAAATTACCACTGGTGCATATCTAAGCTGTTTGCCAGATTCCTCTACTAGTAGAACTGCATCATGTAAGTGCCCAGGGAACAGCTAAATCAGTTGGAAGGTCTGTGTAGATGCTAGTCCGAAAGAGACACATGGGAATTTTGCCCAAGCCAGAACTGATGAGAACTAAGTACAAAATTTTAGTGCTGAGGACGGAATACAAGGAGCACAGGGTCAACCACCTTTGAGGTTTTATCCTTGAGCTACAGTCAAGTCAACTTGGGTCCAGTTGTCCTAAATGGAAGTAACAGAAGATGTTTCTTGAATGTCTCTAGCTAATTTGTAGAGCTGAAACATCTGAGAAGTTAACTTCTCCCCTCGAGAAGAATGGTCTGTTTGGAACTTCGTAGTTATTTAGTTTCTCATGATGGAAATTATTTCACTTAATTTGGTTAGAGCTGCATTGACACAGGGGTTCATTAGGACACCCATTTGCTTGCAATTCAATTTAAAATTAAATACACTTTGTTGTTGATTTTATTACTTTTAAACTACTGTATCTATTGCCTTTATTAGCTGCTAATACACAATTATGAAGGTAAACAGTTTTCATTACTGAACATCAAACATTTAAATAACCACATTTGATTTCTTTTTGGGTTGCATCATTCTTCTCCTTTCCCCCCTTTTGCTGGGTATTAGATTCAAGAGAATAACTTATTCAGTGAAGTTAGGCCTCTTTTGTGTTCATGAGCATGCTCTTCAGCTGTCACCACAGAACAGAGCTTCCTTGGCTGCATCCACAAGGATTATTTATTTCCTCCATTCATTTCTTTACAGGTAATTTGATGCATGTATTTATCTGAAGGTCACCTATAGCTTGATCACAAAAACATTGCTCCAATTCATATTTCCTCTAAGGGTAATTCAGAGGCAGGGATGAAGGGCGCTGGGAGAAGCCATTTGGTCACCTTTTGAAGTGCACTGTGTGTAGCACTTAAAAATTGCAGCCCAAGCTGGGTGTCTGAAAATGGGGATATCCAAAACAGAGGCCTCTTTCAAAAGTACAGCCTTAATTTTTCTAGGCCTGAGGTCCTTTGTTTGGGAGGAGTTCCACTCATTAATATCTGTAAAGCACTGAAAGACCTTTGGAAGGAAAATGCATTAGATAGAAGTACAAAGTAACCCTTATCTGACATACCTTTGAAAGAGTTCATGAATCCTGGCTCGCCACTTTTGTTTCTTCTGGTGAGAGACTTCCTTGTGGTGCTTTGAGTCCCACATGCCAAAAAGAAAAAAAAAAAAAAAAAAAAAGAAAACCCTACATTTTATTTCAGAATATACAGAAAGAATATGGAAATAAAAGCCATAAACGTGCAATTTTTCCTAAGGTTTGCCTTGGGTCTTCTGGTTGAATTTTTTCAGAAGCAGTGAGGTATTTCCGCCACCATTACTTCATTCCATTATTTTTTCCATAACTTTTTTCACATATATTTTTCCATGTTTATTCCATTATTTCCAAAAGAAACTGAGCTCTAATCTTGTTTTAAAAGATTGATTGTTACAATGTATATTTGCACATGGTAGTGCCCTACAGTCCTTGTTTTTACTATGCCTAACACAGTCATATATACTCATACATACATATATGCACATATCAGTGTGTTTGTACACACACAAAAAAAGGTAACATGCAAAATGGTTGTAGACTACCAGGGAGCCCACAACCTGTCCCACTTTAAATCTGCTCCAGATCTTGAGGCCTTGTATCACCACAGCTGTTTTTAAATGTAAGAGGGACTCGCATTTTGGGATGTTGCAATGCACAGGAGGTGAACACACACGAGCAGTCCTCTCCTCCTGTGTTCTCCAGCACAAGAAGCTGAAAAAAATCAGTCCATCAAGAAGCCAGCATCCACATCTTTTTGGACCATGTTCTATGCACAAAACCCGAAAACAATAACCCTGCTGAAGGTTGTACACTCAGGAAAACAAAAGTCTCCCTGACCTGCACTGCTCAGAGATCTCACTGAAAATTCAAGGGCATATCTCGTGCTTCCTACCGGTGTCCCCGAGATCATCGTAAAACATGCATGCAACACTACAAAGGTGGCTTTCTACTGTATACCATATACTGTGATCTAAATAGCGTAAAATTATGTTCTCCTTCCACTCTCATCAAGCCTCAAAGCCAAAAAACATTTTGGTAGGGAAACAATGTAATAGTCAATGGAGAAAAAATCCTCATCAGAGCCTCCATATCTGGCTGTTGAAGTCTCTCCTTTCTCCAAATTTTTTCACAAATATCTGGCTGTTTCCAAGGAAGCTTAGGAATCACTATTGAAGACTAAGGCACTGGGAAAATTATTTGCAAAGCATCCTGCTTTTTTCCAAAATGAAAATTATCGGAGTATAAAAACAGACTACAAAAGCATATTACAAAAGCCTGCATGAGTAGCTTTTAATGTAACTCCTTTAAACCCTGCAAAATCAAAGCAGAGACAACATGCCTTAAAATACAGTATGACTTGTTGGTAGTCCCAGCAGAGAGCCTTAGATGGATGCAATATAATCCTCCAGGCCCAGGTGAAGCATCACACATACACAATTGCAGAGATGACAGGACCAAACTAGCTCAAAGAGAGACCTTCCACCTCCCCTCATGGCAGCTGTGTCATGGGCAATGCTCCCTCCATCACTGCTCCTCTGTCAGTGGTAACCAAGCCCTCCTGCTCCTGGACAGCTTTGGGCTGAAGTTCACCAGGAGTCCCTGGAGCAGGGACTGGGACTCATTTCTCTCCTGCTCCCACAAATGCTGGCACTGATTTTCCTTCCCCAGCCCAGTGAATCACCACCTACGCCGCTTCCCCAGGAAGGGCTGGGAGCTGGCTCCGGTCCCAGCTCTGCTCCAGCAGAGCTGGCAGCTGTCTGGTTTGGGTGATTGGACCCCTTCGTGCCACTTCCCGCAGTCTGGTGGGGACTGCAACCACTGGGGAACACACCAGGAGAAAGGGCAGCTTGTTTCTCCCCGACTGCTCTGGGGGGACATGCTCTTGCATGTGTAGGGGACCCTTCCCAGCAGCAGCAAGGACCAAGCAACAACGTTCACCACCCCTGCGAGGCGCAGGAGCCAGTCTGCCACGGCTGGGGCATTTGGGAGGGTGCCCAGCAACAGAGCTCAAATTCCCTGAGAAAGTTTAATGACAAAACCTACCAACCGAAAGACATCAGGTATTTCCAGAGTTTGGTGGCAGATAGGAAGTTTAAAGTTGGGCTGAAGCAGTTAAAACTAAAGTTCAGAAGGCAGGAGGAGGACTTGGTTCATAATTTATCTCCTAGATCCAACTCTTGGTGATGTCTGAGATAGCGATTTTTTCTGAGGCAGGTGCTTAGATTAAGAAATAACATGAAATAGAAAACTCACTCGATGTAAAATATCAAGTAGCCATAAATATTACAACAACATTCAGACATTACCAGTCCCATCTTATACTGAGCCAGAAGTAGAGAATTTTTTTTTAAATTGATTATATTACCAGACTCCCATAGCTATCCAATCCCCTTGTTTATCTTCCTAATCTTAATTAAATAATGAATATTCAAAAGAAAACATGAATCGGGGTTCTCTGTATGAACTGCACTGTTTTCCATCTCTCGGCCTCTGAAGTGGCAATGGGAATAGGATTTAAAACTATTTCTTCTGGATCCTAGTAAAATATTTGCCACAGAGTGTCATGATAATTTTTAAAAAGCTCTATCATCTACCTAATAAATTTGTTAAGTTTATTCAAATCTTATTGAACAGGATAAGTGCAATGAGTCATGGTTAATATTTCTTTACCTACACTAAGAAATAAAATATATAAAAAATTCAATGCTTAGGGTCCTATTCAGAAAACCTCTATGAGTCTGTAATACATCTTCTACATGATTAAAAAAAAAAACAGGAAACTTGCTTTAAAATGAATTATTCACCACCTTGAATAAATTTCCATCTTTCCTATTTGCAAAACCCCAAAGTCGGTTATGTAAATTTTAACCTACACTAATTACCTCAGGGGTGTGCAAGCTAAAGGAAAGTAGATGCAGTAGAAAAAAAAAAAAAAAAACACTCAGACATTTCCATCACCAGGAAGCAATTTAATAGAGGAAAAAATGTGTAAGTTTTCAAAAACAGAGCAGCCCATATAATTTTTTTTAAATGTGGAA